ATCCTTAAGAACAGGAACAATAGAGATTGTTCAACAATAAAAGCTGTTGTGAGGAACATCTGTCTTGTTAGCCTATGTCAGAGTTGACAGAGTAGACACCCTCCTGAGTTTTCTGCTCCTCTGCCTTAATTTTTCTGCCTGCATGAAGTGGTTTCAGTAGCCTTTAGTTCTGACATGTAGCACTGGGTACAGAAAGCTAGAGGGACAGAGAAATTAAATTAAATTAAATTAGTCCCTGCTTTTATAAACCAAGAAGCTCAAAGTTAATTACACTGAAAATGCAAATAAAGGATCTGCTCCAGACAATGAGAAAACTCCCTCTGACTTGTACTGCTCTAGGATCAAACCCAAAATGAAGAGCCTGCAGTATTTTCCTTGAGAATTGTTAATATGGGTGTTGAATAAAATACAAAATTACAAAGGAAATAAACTTGTCTGTAAAAGTCTTCATCCAACACTACTTAGGGTGCAGTTGTCTGATTTTTAGTTTATTCATCTGGATGTATCCATTGTCTTTTGCCATAAAAAATGACTCAATCTGTCATCAGCTTACCAGACTTGTTGAAAAGGGTAGGTTTGTCAAAAAAACTTTTAGTTTTGCTGTGGTTCATTTCTTTTTCCCATTGACCTATGTTGAATTGTGTCATATAATCAATCTTTTGTCTTGTGCAAGTGCATGAAGAATTTGTTTTGTTTGATAACAGTGTGTAGTATTTTTCCTATCGTTGCTGATGCAAGATCTAGGAAATTACTGGCCAAACACTCTGTGTTCTGCAGTTAAATATTTCAAGTTAAATTACAGTTCTAATGGCTGACATTCAGTGGCAGCCTTATTCATCTAGCTGCTGACATAAGTGATTTCAGGATGGTGTGTGCAACAGCAGAATTCTCATCTAATTACTCTGACAAAATAGATGTCTTGCAAATAGCTATGGGACAATTCAATCTTTAACCCTGTGCTCATAGCTGGATGACTGAATATGTATTTAGCCCATGAGATTCTCAGCTCATTGTGGCTCCAGGCTGGAAATACTCTGCTGAATCTGTGCACATTTGAGTCTGGTAAACTACAGCAATCATGGAACTTGGAAGAATTTCTACATCAAACCATGCTAAGTGCTCAGTTAGAAGTCTAAAACTTAGCCAGAAATGACATCTAAAAGAGGGGTAAAACACAGGCTACTCCATGGCTCCAAGGACAGATAAAGGCTCCTCTCTGCCTGCCTGCCAGAAGACAAGTGCTAAGGAATCAGTGGTCCAAAATCTGTCTGAGCAGCAGCTGCCTGCATTGCTGGCTCTTAGAACACTTTTGAAGTTCTGTTAGAATGCAAATAAACTCAAGAAAATAGCAGTAACTCAGACTGGCAAATGACAGACTCCTCTGATAGCCTGGCAGTTTGCTAGAAGTGGCCTTGAGCACCTTCACCAAAGAAAAAAGGCTTAATTTTAATTAATACTGGCAGTCATCTCCTTTTGGAGTTATTAGATTAGACAGTTATCAGATCAGATAGTTATTAGTTCATGTTATATTCATGAAAACATCCCTTCTATGTTTTGGGAATAAAGTCAGAACTGTCATCTTTGACACCAAGGCAGGAATTTCTAACAGAGAAATGGACAAATCCAAGGGTTGCAATAAAGCCAAAGTAGTGTCTTTTCCACCAAAATAAAAAACTCAACAGAATTTTTCTGGTCTATGTGAAAGAAAACTTTGGAAGTCAGACAAGATTTTTTCTTCTGAGAAATTGAGTGTATACAGTGCCAAATAACTAGATAATCAGGATATTCACTGGGAAAAGAAATATCTAGCCCCAAATTTAGGTCAAACCCCAAATCTGCTGCTACTTATATCTTCATTTCATGAAATTTCTGGATGTTGTTGCAGACCAAGAATATTTTTGAAATCTCAGAAAATTCCGTAAAATGAGATTATTGTTCTCCATTAAGGTATCACAGCAATCATTACTTAAATATTTTTAGCTGCCTAACAAAGACTTGCTTAGAACTGATTCCAAGTGATGACATGCTAATGAAAAGCTTTGTGTACAGCAGATATTATTTGAGCACAGAGGTTCCCTTCCCTCCTCCATCAGCAGTTTCTGATAGACTCCACTGATCCTGAGACCTTAGTGAACTGTTCAGAAACACTAGTGAAGTTTTAGAACATATTCTAGTTTAAAAATACCCCCAAAAATTTAATTCTTAGCAGGACAACTTAACTTGCTAATTTCTTAGACCTTCTTATTTTAGAGCTGCATTGAAACAGGAGAGTAATCTCTTAAGAGAGTCAGTGTGGTTTCCATTGGATATTATCCCATGACTTGAGAAAATTCCATCACTGCTGTTAGCTCTCAGATGGATAAAGGAAAGATATTTTCCTTTATTGTTGATGGTAGTCAGGGGTATAATGGGAATGGGAGGGAGAGAAAGGAAAATAAAGAGATGATTTTCTTTCTTTTTATAAAATTGACCAAGGGAAGCAACGTGTGAAAATTTACAAAGAAGGCACAGACACAGTGGCTGTAATAAAATGTCTTACCATGTGCTCTGGAGACATGGGGAATATATTGAGCTGAAACACAAAATAGGAGCAACTGTCACTAAACCTCTGAGTAAATCTACTGAACTGTAGGTCACAGCTGCTATGTTCCCTCACAGGAATAAGTGTCTTGTTAATAAGCTTTTCTACATATACTTCAAAGATGTCTGACTAAAAATTTCCCTGGGTCTGGTTTTGCATTGTTGTTTACCCTCATTCTGAAGAAAAGCCAACTGTATCTATAAATGTAGCTTCTCTTACATCTCATACTTCCAATAGTTCAATTTATATGTTAGAAATAGAAGGTTTTTTTAAAAGAAGAAAGAAAGTAATCATGCAAGTCAACAGAACACATTAATAATTTTAAACACATTATAATTTTGAACACATTATAATTTTAATTAATAATTTTAAAACAAGAGTCCCGGATTTGAACTTAGCTGGCAGGCAAAGAGGAGAGGAGTGAATACCAACATGTGAAGATCACACTAGGAGCTAGAACAGTGGTTCCATAGCTGGTTTGGATTGCTATAAACCCTCAGAATTTCTTACAGACCACCAGGTATCGTTATCATCAAACTTTTAATTGAAAACACTATTTAAAATAGTGTTTAATATGGCTCTGTGGGTTAGCTGTGAACCCTTTGCCGTGGCCTCCTGGACCACCAGTGTTCTGCAGAGCATGGTTTGGGAAGCACTGAACCAGACTGCACACATCGTACACCCCAACAAAACACTGCTGGGTCTGAAACAGAGGCACTCCTGCAACTGCCCCATCTACTCAAATAATGCACATGTCAGCTCAACCTTCTCGGTAGCTGAACAGCACAAAACCCTTTTGTTTTTTTCCCTAGCCAAAGTTTATTTTTTATTTCTTTGGAGAAACAAGCAAATGGTGCCAAACCTCCGTTTCTGATTGTTTCTTGTAGGATCTTCCTCATATCTGGCAATGGTGTAATCTTTCAGGAAGCTAGCAGTGAAAATAAGAAATATAAATCCCCCCACACTGTGGAGTTATCATTCCAGAATAATTGTGACATCTATGAATCCAAAAATTAAAAAATTAGAACTAGCGTCTAAGTTGGTTTTATTTTTTTTTCCTCCTCTGGAAAATTTGTTCCTTTTTTTCCCTTCCCAAATCCACTAATGATGCTAGAGCTCTGTGTGTGGTCATTAAAGCATTTCAGCAACTTTCTGCAAATTCTTTACAGTAATTCTTTGGCTGCAGCACTACAGGATTGTCTGTTTATTACCAGAGAAACACACAGAGGAGAGCAATGAGAAGGGAACTTGTGGGGAAAGCATTGAGAAGGGAACTTTTGTGGAAGTGTCATAAATAACAGCAGCAAAACACCACGATCCAGCCCTGTGTGCAGTCAGTGACAGAGTGTGGTCTCACACAAGAGCAGGGATGGGCTGTACCTTCCCCTCCCACCATTCTGCCTCCTTGCACCTCACAGGCACCTCAGGCAACCAGTTTAGAAGGGGGCCTTATTCACTTCTCCTCATATTCACCTTATTCACCTCTCCTCATACACTCATCACCAACTGCTATTGCATGGAATTGGCAACCAGGAACCTTTGCAAGTAGCAGCATTGCTAAAAACAAACAAACAAACAAAAAAACCCAAACCCCAAAACCCCCAAACTACCAAAAAAGAACTCCTTTTCTAAACCAGCTATTATTTAAAAATAAGGCTGTGCTTCCAGGACAGTATCTCACCTAATTTGGGGAGAAAATAGTGCTGTCACAGCACTTCTGTGCCCTTTGTATGCTGAATAGTAATGTAGAGGTTTGAGTCAGAGTGGGAGTGGAAAAGGATCACTTCAGCAAAACTAATGAACAGGAGAAGTCTGCAAGGGAAAGGGGTAACCTCTGCCTTGAAAAATAATGAACCCTACCCAGTTCTTGTCTCTATGGGTCTCTCCTGCAGTACTTTACACTCAGCATCAGTAATGGATGCTACTGGAGCATCCATTAGTGTTAGATTAATAATCAACCAAAGTTAGATTAATAATCAGCCCCATATGTGTCCCAGGGGTGTTGTTGTTGTTGTTGTCTGAACAGTTCTTTTTCCAATTGCAGTGTCAATGCTTAGAGGTAGCTGTCAACTCACTTTTTATTAATCTGAAACAGATAAACTTCAAGCTTGCAAACCTGGCTGGACAATATGAAAACAAATCCTGTGGCCTCACCTCAGGACTGTCCAGATTCATTGCCAAGTTCCCCTCTGGTGAAGGGGTTTACTGGGACTATCCCATGCCTGCATACCTGGGGTAATTTGCCCGAGCTGAGCCAAGCATCTTAAACACGCGCGGAATTCCGTAAGATGAGAAATCCACGCTGAGGAATGATGCCCCTCCTCACTTTGCTGCCTGACCCCCTTGCTGTAGATGATGTGTGTGTGCTTTCCTCAGCTGCCTTTCTGCCAACCCATCAGCTTTTGGCTTCTCTCCACAGGAAGCAGGGAGGCCGCGTTCACCTATGCCATTACCGCTGCCGGGGTCGCGCACGCTGTCACGGCCGCCTGCAGCCAGGGCAACCTCAGCAATTGTGGCTGTGACCGAGAGAAACAGGGCTACTACAACCAGGAGGAGGGCTGGAAGTGGGGAGGCTGCTCTGCGGATATCAGATACGGCATTGAGTTCTCCCGGAGGTTTGTTGATGCCCGAGAAATCAAAAAGAATGCACGGAGGCTGATGAACTTGCACAACAATGAGGCTGGAAGAAAGGTATTCCAGAAAGGATGAGGGATGGGAACTTGTGTGCTGGAGGATGGGGGGGAGGCTGGCTTGGTGGCAGGAGGCATTTCCTGAGAGCTCACCCCTCTCTCTGAGAGCTCACCCCTCTCTCTGACGTTATCCTGCACCCACATCAACCCACCTGTTGTTCACCTTTTTTATCCTGTTTCTTTTTATTCAGAGCTGGCCATGTATATATGGTACCTATAGCACCTTATTATAGGTACTCCTGTAAAACTTTCTGCTTCCTTCTTTCCAGTCCTAATAACAGGGAGGACCTTGCTGGATCTGTTTAGCATGATGATAAATCACTGCTTTTCATCCCAAGGGATGCCGGGGATTGTGATGGGACAAAACTGCATTGCTCAACTTCCACAGCACTTCCAGATATTTATTCCAGTGAACCCCAAATCACTTATTTCACCCCAGCTCTAGTGAAATACACAAAGTAGTATACAATGCACTTCTTAGCAGATGCACAACTATTTCTTTGTAAATACAAAGCTGAAAGAGCTGCAGAAGAAGAAGCAGTTTCATGTCTACAACCATGACTGAATTGCTTCTTGTGGTGACAATAAACATCATGGAGCTATGCTGATTTGTGTTCACTAATCCTCATAGCTGTCAAAGCTTGTCCTTTAAAAAGTGTAACAAATCTTTCTGCATCATATGTACCTACCTCAGGAGAGATTATAGCCTTCAAAGTGTTTTCCCCTAGGAAAAGCCCTCCACTCCAGTGTTGCAGAAAAATCCAATATACCAATGTAGCAATCCAATAAAATCTGACTCCTTCTCTAGTCCCCAAAGTAAGACTGAATTTTCCTCCTCTAAAACCATGTGTGCTTTCAGTCCTGTACTGAGCACTGGGCAGAGAGAGTAGAATTGGTGGTGATAGAAGCAATGCAATTATTTTACAGCCTGGATCTTGCTTACTAGCACAGTTGCGTCGGCCATGCTCTGAAACAGAAGGTTCTGTATGGGCAGGAGTTCACTGGGATGGAAATACTGCATAAATTCAGTGTGGTGAGAGAGGCATAATCTCAAGTGTAGAGACAGGATGGGTACTTCAGTGAGAGTTCACACTGAGGTCTCCAGATGTGCAGGAGAAAGGTGACTGAAGAGCCAAACAGAAAAACAGCCTTGAGGGCCACAGTCTTTTTCCCTAAAAATTGCTGCCACAGATATAAAAGAACTTCATTCAGCAGTTGACCATTGGAAGACCAGCTCCTGGTCTGATCGCTTCACTTAGGCTGGGAATTTCAGCTAAGCATCATAAATTATGTTTGGAGGCAAAACAAGATGGAAGTCAACTCTTAAACTTGCCAGGGAGGATTTATTACTGCTAGATTCATTCCCATCCCTGCTTAAGCTGGCATCCTCTGTGGTGTGTGTGTGCCACCCCCATGGAGATCCTGAGGCAGGTCCTGCTTGGAACATGCCACAGTCTAAATGGGAAAGAGGGACAAAAGAGCAAAAGCAGATACTGAGATGGAAAACAGTGATGTCCCAAGGACAGAAAGAGCTCATTATGTGAACCAGGCACTGATCATGGGTCCCCCAATTCTAAATACAGCTCAGTAACCACCAGACCACATTGCTGATTCTTGTGAAGCACATTATATTTTACTTTTCATCAGAATTTCATAAGCAGAGGGACATAAGCAAACCAAATAAGTGCATGTTTTTACAGATACTTCTCGTAGCAGAATTCATGTAAATAAATTTTATTTATAATTCTATTTTTTTTAAATGTTCTTGCAAAAAAGAAATGATAATAATTTCATATTTTAAGAAAGGAATACAAAGGCTTGCAATACCAAGAATATATTTTTTCCCATTTTTAAAAATAGAAATAGTATTTTGGAATTTACTAACTTTTTGTTGCATTTTTCAGTAGTTATTTATACCCATAGCTGTTCATTAATTCATTGTTTTGCTTTCAAAAGCTAAGAATGACTGAAAGAATTTGGTGTAGTTTTTTGGTTTTAAGTATATTCCATAAAATCCAGAGGAATGTGCTAATATAAAACATGTTTTTGGGGGTCATGTTTAGAAATAATTTTGGTGTTATGATGTATATTCCCTTTATGTGAATATTCAGAGTCGTACAGTAAATAATATTTAGTGATTTTGGTTCTTCCGAGATAATTTGGTATTTGTATAAATAAGACATTTTGAATTCAGGACTGACCAAAACTTAAGGTTGGAACAAAACCCTGGAACCTGGAATATGCTTTCTGTGTTTCTGGGCTGGACCCTTGCAAAAGCGGTTCCAGAATTTTCTGCAATTTCGGTGTGAGATCACAAGTTCCTTCTGAGAATCCAGGCAGACTTGGAATCTGCCCTACATTCACCCGAAATCTGGCTGGTTTGGGGGTCCTTGGTGAACCTGGACTACACTGTGAGTCTGACACAAAATCTGAAACCAGGGGATTTTGCTTATGCATGGGTGTCATTCTTACATCCTCCACATGGTCCTTATTCACCCTCAAGTCAGAGATCACAGAATCACAGTAGCATCCACAGAATCACAAAATCACGGAATAGGTAAGGTTGGAAGGGTCCATCCTTCCCTTGCTGGCTCCTCCATTTGCCTGGGTACAACAGTGAACTTCCATCTTTCTCCTTTTTCCTTCCAAAACTCTCACAACACAACTGGGAAATGCTTGTACTGCTCTGAGAAAATCTGTCAGTGCTGTCCTGCTGATCTGTGTGTGGCTTGTCTTAAAATTCAGAAGCGCTTTGGAGCCAAGTTTCTGTTCATTACAGCTGCTATAAAGAACCAAAGTGCAGATATTTTATCCATGTTATGAATAGGAAGAAAAGGTGAGAAAGAAAACACACACAACAGGAACGTTTTAATTCCTTCATTGCTTTAGAAGTTCTCAAATATTTTCAAATAAGGTATTTTCTACCTTAGAGTGGTAATGGACAGTAAAGATGGTAAAGGAAGTGTAGGCTTTTGTGGCTTCCTACAGAAATCTCATGGCATTTTCACCATTTAAAATACCCTGCATTCACATCTGTAATGGTAAGGCCTGCAGCTCTTTTTTAGTCATTCCAAATTTTTGAGTTAGCTTAGAAGAACAACTTTTAGCCAACAAATATGCTACCTTCCTTTTAGTCTTCTTTTGGAATCTCAGAGCCTTCCAAGTCAGAAACATGAGGAAAAAAGGACACAAAAAGCTCCCAACCCCACATACAATTGTTTCCAGCTTGCTCTGGAGTCAGTGCTAGGCACTTGATGACCCAACTAGACATCTACCAGGTGCCCAGAGGTTCATTGCTAGGATCATTAGTCAATACTCTGGCCACCAGGTTTTTTTTCCCCTCAAGCAATTATTTGAGTGTTCTTTTATACCCCCACAAGGACTTTCTCATGTGCTCTCAGAAATCTTGCCCATTCTGCATCTCTTCCAGCACTTGTGCCACACATGCCTGGCGGTCAGAGGGGTTGTACAGCAATGTGGCTTTAATAATTTGCCTTTGTTGGGATGCTCTCAAAAGCTGATCTTGACTGCTGCTAAAAACAGAGCCCAGAGGAATTTTTCTTTGTGGAACAAGCAGCATGCTGTAAAAATAATTGCACAAACTTTGCAAACAGAGGAGGGGAAAAACAGTCTTGCAGGGGTCTTTTACTTCTGTCTAGGGTTGAGATGTTCAATACAACCTTCTAATAAATGATCTCATTGGAAAAAAAAAGAAATTTAGGCTTCTCAGGGAATTTCTGATGACTGTGGAATGAATGAATACCCTAATTGCCCCACACTGCATCCTGTATGGCTCTGCACTGAATTTCTAAGAATTGTTTCAGCTAATGGCAGGTTTGCAAACTTTCTGCTAAATTTGCAATAGGAAGCACCAGTGGCAAAATCGTAATCTTGTTATTGGTGTGATTTGGAGCAAATAAATGCTCAGGGATTCCTGGTGGCACAAGACTCTCCTGATGGAAGATTTATGTTTGGTGGCAAAGTGGCACTGCACGGTGTGAAAGAGCAGAGGAACAAACTTCCCTGTCAGTTTCCAAATATCTGCTGTGATTTGGGATGGAAAGAACAAGTGTGGTAAATGAAAACAAGCCCCCAAAGGAGGACTAGTGTAAGTCTAACACAAATGTTACTGAAAGAATGTTTTGTTGCAAATTTGAAAGATTACAGAGAGATCTGTGGGCAAAACTTTTACAGAGTAGTGAAAAATTAAATATCAACAAACCAAGTCAGCTTTGATGCTGTTTTATGAGACAGCTTTCTACCATGTATTTTTAGAAATAAGTATCTTTATTCTGGGATAAATGAACTTAGAGTAACATCTGGGAAACCACATCATTAAGCTTAACTTTTTGTTGAGAGTTTCAAAACAATGACTGTCTCTCACGGGAAATCTCATTTATAAAAATGGAGGTTTCTGCTTGTTTTTATGGGGTGAGTTAAAAGAACAAACTGACAAATTGGTAGCAGATTGCAGCTTTTAGCAAAAAGTAGAAATGTTTCTAACAGTGTATCAATCAATTAGGCTCTTACAACAGACAGTGACTGTGGTTATGTGGAGGAGAAACTGGCCCTTCCAGAAACACACCCATCACTCTGACTGCCAGCAACTCTGCCTGACACCATCCCAATATTTACTCCTTTGTTACAGCAGTGGGGTTTTCCTGCTGTTTTTTGTAATGCCTGGAAGATGACAAACAGCTTATTTTACATATGAAACAATAAGAGTGTGGGGAAAAAAATAAATAATTCAGGCTCTCTTCAGAAGAGATTTTTCAATTATTTAGGACAACATTTCCACCTAAGACATGGCTTTTTCTCATAGTTTCTGTTGCAATAGGCCTGTAGTATTGGAAAGGGGTTCTTTTGCTGACTTCCTTTGGCTGTAAAACAGCTAATGAGGTGATTTGTTGATTACCATTAATTACATATATACAGATATAAAGATACAAAATTTTTATATATTATATATTATATTATATTATATTATATTATATTATATTA